AGCATTAAAGATTTGGAGGCATTATTTATATGGCGTGTCATGTGAGGTGTTCACGGATCACAAGAGTTTGCAATACTTATTCAAGCAGAAAGAGCTAAATTTGAGGGAGAGAAGGTGGTTGGAGCTACTAAAAGACTATGATATCACCATCTTGTATCATCCGGGGAAGGCCAATGTGGTGGCCAATGCTTTGAGTAGGAAGTCATCCAGTATAGGAGTCTTGCGTATATACCGGTCGGTGAGAGACCGCTTGCATTGGACATTTAGACTTTAGCCAATCAGTTCGTGAGGTTGGATGTTTCTGAGCCCAGTCGTGTGCTAGCTTGCACAGTCGCTCGTTCTTCATTATTTGAGTGTATCCGAGATCGGCAGTATGATGATCCTCATTTGCTTGTCCTTAGAGACACAGTGCGGCAGGTTACAGTTGGAGATAATAGAGTTTTGATGATGCAGGGTCATATTTGTGTGCCTAATGTGGATGGACTTTGTGAGTTGATTCTAGAGGAGGCCCATAGTTCCCGGTATTCTATTCATCCGAGCGCCGCTAAGATATACCAGGACTTGCGGCAGCATTATTGGTGGAGGAGGATGAAGAAGGATATTGTTGCGTATGTAGCTTGGTGTTTGAATTGTCAGCAGGTAAAGTACGAGCATCAGAGACCTGGTGGTTTGCTTCAGAAGATTGAGATTCCTGAGTGGAAGTGGGAGCGTATCACTATGGACTTCGTTTTTGGACTCCCACGGACTCAGAGGAAGTTCGACGCGATATGGGTTATTGTTGATAGGCTGACCAAGTCAGCGCATTTCATTCCTGTGGCAGTCTCCTATTCTTCAGAGAGGTTAGCTGAGATCTATATCCGGGAGATCATTCGTCTTCATGGTGTGCCCGTGTCCATTATTTCCGACCAAGGTACGCAGTCTACCTTGCATTTCTGGAGGGCAGTTCAGCGTGAGTTGGGTACTCGGGTCGAGTTGAGCACATCATTTCATCTTCAGACGGACGGACAGTTTGAGCGTACTATTCAGATTTTAGAGGATATGCTCCGAGCATGTGTTATTGACTTTGGAGGTTTGTGGGATCAGTTCTTGCCATTAGCGGAGTTTGCCTACAACAACAGCTCAGTCGAGCATCCAGATGGCCCCCTAAGAGGCATTATATGGTAGACGGTGTCAATCGTCAGTTAGGTGGTTTGAGCTAGGAGAGGCTCGGTTGTTGGGTATGGATTTGGTACAGAATGCCTTGGACAAGGTTAAGATCATTCAAGATAGGCTTCGTATAGCTCAGTCCAAGCAAAAGAGTTATGCTGACCGTAAGGTTCGTGACGTGGCATTCATGGTGGGAGAGCGAGTGTTGCTTCGGGTGTCGCCCATGAAGGGTGTGATAAGATTTGGGAAGAAGGGCAAGCTAAGCCCTAGATTCATCGGTCCTTTTGAGATTCTCGATCGAGTGGGAGAGGTGGCTTATAGACTTGCGTTGCCACCAAGTTTATTGGCATTGCATCCAGTGTTTCATGTGTCCATGCTTCGGAAGTACCACGACGATCCATCCCACGTGTTAGACTTCAGCACTGTCCAGTTGGACAAGGACTTGACCTATGAGGAGGAGCCGACAGCCATTCTAGACCGGCAGGTTCGTCAGTTGAGATCGAAGAATTTCCCTTCAGTTCGTGTGCAGTGGAGAGGTCAGCTTGTTGAGGCAGCAACCTAGGAGTCCGAGTCCGATATGCGGAGCCGATATCCTCATCTTTTCACCGACTCAGGTACTTTTCCATGTCCGTTCGAGGACGAACGGTTGTTTTAGAGGTGGAGAATGTGATGACCTTAAAGGTCATCTCTTATTTTAAAAGTCGAAAATGTGTTCCGAGACCTTAAAAACCTCTTTTTGTCTCACCTCGATTTTCGTGCGCAGTCCGGGCGCGTTTCCAGAAAGCTTTTATGAGGAATTTTAGAAAAATAATGATCTTGGCCTTTTAAATTAATTAAAGTTGACTTTGGTCAACATTCTTGGCAAACGGATCCGGACCCGTGATCCGACGGTCCCGTAGGGTCCGTAGTAAAATATGGGACTTGTGTGTATGCCCGGAATCAAATTCCGAGGTCCCAAGCCCGAGAAAAGAATTTTTAAAGAAAATTATTTGCGGAAAAATATAAAGGCTTTTTGAAATGAAATGATGCATTTTCTTGATGGTATCGGGCCCGTATGTTAGTTCCGGAGCTTGGCACATGTTTAAAATAATAAATAAGTCGAATTTGTGAAATTTGGTAAGAATCGGAGTTGATTTGGTACAAATCGGACCTTTAATTGAGAAAATGGAAATTTCAATGTTCTTGAAGAATTTCATGAATTTGAGGTTAAATTCGTAGTTGTTGATGTTATTTTGATGATTTGATCAGACGAGCAAGTCCGTATGATGTTTTTAGACTTGCGTGCATGTTTGGTTTGGAGCCCCGAGGGCTCGGGTGAGTTTTGGATAGGCTACGGAGTGAATTTGGACTTAGGAAAATTGATACAGGTTTCAGTCACTTGTCACGACCCGGATTTCCCACCCTCGGGAGTCGTGATGGCGCCTACTCGTGTAAGCTAGGCAAGCCAACTATTAAGGTTCTACATATTAACAACCCAAACAATTATAAACAGTAACTATAGCTAAACAAATGAAAAGCGCGGAAGAGTTAAAATAAATCCAAATACTCCAATACATGTTTACCCACGAATCTGGTGTCACGAATTCACGAACGACTAGGATTTGTACTAAAAATATAAGTCTGGAAAGAAAAGTACAATTGTTCTCGGAATGATAAGAGACAGTAGAAAAACTAAACAGGGAAGGGGGACTTTAGGCTCTGTGGACGCCAGCAGATCTACCTTGGTCTCCCTGGACTGAAGTCCCCCTTCCCTGTTTAGTTTTTCTACTGTCTCTTATCATTCCGAGAACAATTGTACTTTTCTTTCCAGACTTATATTTATAGTACAAATCTTAGTCGTTCGTGAATTTGTGACACCAGATTCGTGGGTAGACATGTATTGGAGTTTTTGGATTTATTTTAACTCTTCCGTGCTTTTCATTTGTTTAGCTATAGTTACTGTTTATAATTGTTTGGGTTGATTGTTAATGTGTAGAACTTTAATAGTTGGCTTGCCTAGCTTACACGAGTAGGCGCCATCACGACTCCCGAGGGTGAGAAATCCGGTTCGTGACAGTTTAGCAGGACTCGACTTCCTGCTGCACTTTTCAATATTATTACAAATTTAAGTGGTTCAGATGAGGCAAGTCCTGCAAGTCCTATGGATGACATCATGGTAAGTAAACTCCACCTAATTCATGTAAAAGTAAATTTCTTATCGCGCCTGACATAAGTAGATACATCTTAGAAGGAACAAGAGCACTGGAAAGAATTTTGTTAATTCATGAATGCATGTACTTCAATAACCATCTTTCATCCTAAGTAATTATTTGATATATTTCACTTAAACTCTGGAAAAAATATATATCACAATATCTGGAAAACCCCACACCGAATGATCTTTACTGTTTTATATTTAGGAAACGAATTTAATGGCATCGAAGATTAGAGTACACATTATTTATTTATGATCAGCCCAAAGTATGAATCGAAGGGAAATTAAAAGAGGAGCAATAAATTGAAGAATTAAAAGGAAACGTTAACCAATTAGTAAGCAAATTCAATGATATCTTTGTACGAGTAACTAACTTGTTAAACAGTGAAGTATTTAGTTGGAGCCCTACTTATTGTTATAGGGATCAAGTCCTATATATGCATCTGCTGAAAATAGAAAAACTTGTTTTTTAGTCAAAGTAAAGTGAATAAAATCAGTAATTCATACTTAGGTTTTGGAATAAACTGGATCTCAGTTCATATTTTCGTTCCATTAACTTCCTAGTTTAAACTTTCCAACTGAAGAGAAGACCCCTAGAAAAGGAAACAAGGAAAAAGGAAAAGGAAAAGGAAAACTTGGTTTCAATTAGTAGAAGAATAACATAAAATATGCAGTTACATACTCCACTTTCAAGCAAATTCTCTCCAACCCTATAACACTTTTCTAGACCTTGCACTCAAAAAAAGACTTCATTTCACCATATATAATTTTGTAAATTCTCACAAGGTTTGCCTTCACATAAAAACAAATCCAAAAATGGATCTGAACTATTATTATCATTATTATCTACATGAGCTTAAAAACTGGAGTTTTTTTCCTCATGATTTGATCTAAATATTTGGCCAGCATGCATGGTAAATGTTTAGTTGTCAAGGTTTAAGACTGAAAAAAAGTGTTTGTATGTTTAAGACTGGTCAAGGTTTTCTCAGATAGACAAACAAAATAGAGATCATATTACATTTCCTAGATATTAGTTATCAACTGATTGTATGATATAACATCAAAATGTTCTCGAGTTTCTTAGAGATGTATTTGACTAAATTATATGAATGGTGTGATGAATCCTGGATCCTTTCTCTGTTAACTGGTATACTAATGGCGATATCTCTTCATGCTTTTATGTTGAATGGCTTAAAAATTTTGACATGTATAACTTCTAAATTCATTATTCAGTTTTATCTGTTGTAGAATCTCGATTTTCAGTGGGAACAAATTTTTGTTCTATCTAGTGTTTTTCACTTTGGAGCTTTGACAGATTGGTAAATGTAAGGTTTTATGTTGAGGTCAAAAAGTCTCGTCCTTGTTGGGGGAAACCACGAGATTGCAAAATCTTACCTTTAATACTTGATTGGGTTGGGTTCTACTAATCTAGTATACAAGTAGATCAGTTGTGTAATGTATTAGGATACTTAGTACTATTAGCTAAGGTATAGCAATACCGTATAGTGCACTTTCACCTTTGCCTTCTCCTTAGGTTCTTTTCAATTGCATACTTGATGCTTGAATCCAAACTTTTCATTTCAATTCCACTAAGAAGTTATGCATCTGAAAATTTTCCAGAATTATCGATGGTCCGGTTGACAACTCCGGGCGAAAAGCACTATCTGTGATCATAGTTAAACAAATCACTGCATTTTCCTGCAATGGAAAAGTAATTTGCCAATGGCAATGCCATCTCTGAACCACCTTTGAAATGAAACTTGAGCTCTAGCAAAGAAACTGTTTTATGGTTGGAAATATTGAAACATGGCCTTAAACCTGTTAATTTCTCAATATTTTCAGTTCTTGGAATACCCTTAACTTGGCTCACAAATGCACTAAGCACAGGCTCGAAAACGCCGAGATTCATGTATGTGAAAGTTGTGCCTGAATCCACAATACTCCCTCCATTTCCATTAGAATCAGGTGTCAAATACTCCCTCCATTGTGATAATAAAAGGCACTTTATTTTCGTGTTTGGATAGACATTATTTGGATAGTTGATAATACTTGACATCTTTTTGTTTGTTCAATTGATACTCTTACTAAACCACATAAAAGAGTGTTTGTATGTTTAGTTGGTTGCACCTCAGTTCTTGCAGTCATTTTAGTTTAACGAGGTTAAGGAGTTTCTGAAGTACTTTCTAATCTATTTTTATTTAGTTTTTTTAGAGTAGATACTTGATATGATATCTTGGAGTTTATGTTAGAGTATTTTTTTAGCTGAATATTTCTATCCCTGTCACGACCCAAAATCCACTATGGGTCGTAATGGCGCGGGACACCAATGTCAGGCAAGCCAACACCAATTTACTAGTAATTTCTTGTTTTAATATTTTCAAAATCGTTTGTTTAATATATTAGACAATAAGTAATGAATTCCACTGAATAGATATTGATGTCTTTAACAAACTTAATATTAAATAATCTCATAATCATCCCAGAACCCGGTGTCACAAGTGCATGAGCAATTACTAAGGAATCGAATAAAGTACAATAACTGTCCGAAATACAAATTGGACAGAAAGTAAATACAATACGCTGAAAGAGACTATACTGGCTGTGGGTCGCCTCGAGAAATACAGCTCACCTAGTCTCCGTATCATCCATGCTGCTACGCCCAGTAGGCCACTAGAAATACATGTGCCTGTGCAACAAAAATGCACAGCAAGTGTAGCATGAGTACGGAAACAACGTGTACTCCGTAAGTATCCCGTCTAATCTCGAAGAAGTAGAGACGAGGGGTCGACTTCGACACTTACTAGTGGTCCAATAATGATACGTCAATAATATAATAAATCGAGGATTTTTATAAACATGATTGTAATTCAATAGAATGAAGCAAGTAAACAATTCTTCCTTTTATAGGAAATTCCCAAATTCTTTTTCATCATTTATACATTTATTCTCAAGCCGGAAAGAAACAATATCAACTTTAATAAATATCAAGGCAAGCAATACAAGCATGCGCAAATCATGTTGAGGTCGTACGGTCCGATCCAACAATATTTAAACTGTGCACTGCCAGAGGTTCGAATTGCGCGAACCATAGATACATCTGTTTAACCTACCGAGGCGTTCGGCCCGTTCCACAATAGATAACACATTCAAGCAGTCATTCAAGAATTCATCAAGGAGCAACTATTCAAGAAAAGGCAATTTCCCTTCTTACAAATCAAGAAACGATGTCTAGTCAATTAGAAATTCATTTATACGTTTGATATATTTTAAGCATTTTAAATTGTCAACAAGATTGCAAATATTACAAGTAAAGCATGCTTTTGGGTCCTAGACTACCCGAACTCAAGCATAATAGTAGCTACGCACGGACTCTCATAACCTCGTGCGTACGTAGCCCCCACAAATAGAAGCATATATCCAATTAATTTACCTATGGAGACAATTCCCTCTTACAAGGTTAGAAAGGAGACTCACCTCGCTCCGAAGTTCCATAACCGTTATTCCATGCCCTTCCGAAAACTCAAATCGATGCACATTGCACCAAAACTAGCCAATAATTATGTAAACTCATTAATATATGATCAATTACTCATTATTATCCAATTTATAACAATTCCTAACCCCGTTCGAAAACTTAACAAAATTAACCTCGGTCCCACGTGCCCGGATTCCGAAAATTTTCGAAGATAAAGTATACCCATAAGCTCACGAACTCAAATATATAATTTACTCCCAATTTTGTGCCCCAAATCGTGGTAAAATTCCAAGAATACCAAATCTAGGTTTTTCTTCAAAACCCCAATTTTCACTAATTTCCCATGATTTTCCATGTTAAAATCTAGATATAATCCAAGTAATTAACTTGCAATAGGTGGGCATCACTTACCTTGACATGGATGATGAAAATGGAGCTCCAAATCGCTCCTAGGTCGGCTCCCATGGAAGAAATGAGATGAAATGAGCCAAACCCATTTCTTTACACTTATACACTGCCCAGACGTCTCCTCTTCGCGTTCGCGAAGAAGAAAATTCCCAGAAACCATTTTTCACACTCTTCTCAGACAGCCTCTAGTATAATGGCCATAACATTTTGTACAAAACTCCAAATGACAAAAGGTTTAATTTTTTGAAAATTAGAAACCAAGATCTACAACTTTTATGTTTTAGAAATTTCCTAATTCCATATAGATTTTGAGATATAAGCTGCCAAAGTCAGCCCTGTGCAACACAAATTTCTTCTTTATCTTCCCGGATAGTCTGTAGTGTACCAGCAATAAGTTTTTGTACACAAATCCAATGCTAAATGGTTTACCTTTCTGAAAACTAGACACAAAGTACTACAACTTTTGGTTTTGGATCATCTCCTAATTCCTTGTAGATTGGCAGATATAAGCCTCTGAAGTAAGACCTGCGCAACAGAAATTCTTCTTCTTCGCGAACGCGAGACTCCCTTCGCGAACGCGAAGAACAAAATCCCAGAAGCCAAATCCCTCTTCGCGAACGCGAGAGGACCCTCGCGGACGCGAAGAACAACACCAGACACCAGCATCAGTAGTTCCAACACAGCCTGAAATGCTCCGAAACCACCCCGAAACACACCCGAGGCCCCCGGGACCCCGTCCAATCACACAACTCAGTCCCCTAACATAACACGGACCTGCTCGAAGCCTCAAATCACGTCAAACAACGCTAAAACCATGAATCGCACTCCAATCCAAGCTTAGTGAACTTTAGAATTTCAAGCTTCTATATTCGATGTTGAAACCTATCAAATCACGTCCGATTGACCTCAAATTTTGCACACAACTCATATTCGACATTGCGGACCTACTCCAACTTCCGAAATTGAAATTCGACCCTAATATCAAAAAGTCCACTTCCGATCAAACTCCTCAAAAACCTTCAAATTTCTATATTTAGCCAAATGACTCCAAAATGACCCACGGACCTCCGAATTCACTTCCGATCGCGCTCCCAACATCAGAATCACCATACGGAGCTATTCTCAGGCTAGAAATCCCAAACGCACATTGATAACACTGAAATGCACTTCAACCCAAACTTATGAAATTCTTCCAAAAATGCTAACTTCCACAATAGGTGCCGAAATGTTCCCGGGCCTTCCAAAACCCGATCCGGACATACGCCCAAGTCCGAAATCATCATACGAACCTGCTGGAACCTTCGAATCCCGATTCCGAGGTCGTTTACTCAAAAATCCAATCTTAGTCAATTCTTTCAACTTAAAGCTTCTGAAATGAGAATTCTCTTTCCAAATCAACTTCGAACTTCCCGAAAATCAAATTCGACCATGCGTACAAGTCATAATACCTGAAGTAGAGCTGCTCATGGCCTCAAACTGCTGCACGACGCGCTGGAGCTCAAAACGATCGGTCGGGTCGTTATATTCTCTCCTAGTTAAACATACGTTCGTCCTCAAACATGCTAAGAACTGCGTTGGAGTTGTCTGAAATCACTATTTAACACCTCGTGCACCTACCCGTGCTACTACAACCCAGATGAGCAAATTAGCTCGATCAATTCTGAAGATATTCCCTTTTATTCAAGCAAATAAGCTTAGAGCCCAATTCCAACATCCAGAATTTTCTGCCAGGCCTACTTCCAATATAAAGAACACCGTATCAATCACTACACAAGGTACCAGAACATGACGGCATGCCTTTGTTGAATTCTCACCATGTACCACATCATTCACAAGACCATAATAACATTCTCTGATCATAATAACCGACATTCCTCGAATCTGATGCTCACAATGCACCTCATGATATATATGTCTTGTTCCAACTCTCGCAATACTGCCACGACGGAAGAGATGTGTAGAAAATCATAACCAACTGCCGAGTCAACAAATCATTGAGTCTATACTTCTAACAAGAACCGTTACCTCATTCTGAACCAAATAGTGATCTTTGCTCTTTAAAATACTTGATATAATGCGACTGCACTGATCCTAGATCCAATAATCTCGTCTCACCCAGTACGAACTGCTCAGGAAATAAGCCACCCCGTTCATGATCAAAAGACCCATATGATGCCACTAGGTGCCAATAGGCCACAAGCTCGAACGTGATACATAAGGAAAACGAACTCTGGAAGGGACTACTCAACTCACGCAACTAATATGAACTTTCCTCAAAAAATGGGAAACAAAACACACAAAAACAGATATAGGGAACTGTACTCAACATCACACTGTCGCGGCGTGCAACCCGATCCAAACAACATACCCGTGGCGGCGTGCCACCCGATCCACACATAAAATTCACATAAGAAGATACACACCGAGCAAAATTTCTCATTACTACAAAATACCGAATATCGGCCACAAGCACGCTAAGTGCATAATACCATCCCTGGGGAGACAGATAACGCCATAAGCTACAAAACTCAAGCACAACTGAAGTGCGATATATGATTAGAATCTCAAGAGCCATCCTGCTCACATAACACCATCGCTACGCGGAACCTCAACACACTAGAAATTTATCAAGCCATTTCGCAACTCACAGGGCACAATATAGCATTACATAAAATGGCCGACGACAAAATATTATCCAACGTCCGAATACTCCTCCATAAGGAGTGCTGTGCTGAAATGAACACATCAAGCCTCATATAGAGCCCATATTCATATTTAAATCCATTCATATACCTCAAGCCGATTCTAATCGTACCGAACTAGGCCAATAATCTTTCTTGGGTCCATAATAACCCCCTTTTTCCCATAACACACAAGAACAACCGACCAATCCGGAACAACCTTCCACATTCCAACCACAAATACCCCGAGCTCCCTTCAGGCATAAATTCTCAATTAGCGATAGTACCACAATCTCCATACTTGGTTTAAATCCTCAATCAATTAAGTGACTACACGTCACACTTATAAAATCTTCCCGTGGGATATGCCCCCAAGGCCTTCTGCACCAGGTAACAAGTCTGCACATCCATACCACCGGCCATGCAAATGCTGCAAAGTGAATCAAGGATCCGCAAGTCAATAACAAAATCTTACTCATGACACTGATCTCA